ACTCTGTTCCTCGGGTTCTTCCTTCTTCTTCTTATCCTCTGGTGGAGGAGCAGCAGCAGGGGCGGCAGCTTCAGGCGACACCTGGGGCAGCGACAGAAACTGCACCGCCAGAGCCAGCATTCAGGACAAGATCTTCAACGTTTCTCTTCTCGGCAAGTTTGGCGAAGAGGCTGGGCCAGTAAGACTCGACAGGGACGTTAGCGGCTTTCACCAAGGTTGCAATCTTCTCGGCAGTGACGGGGATGCCTTCATCATGGAGGATCAGAGTGGCGTAGGTGCAAGCAAGCTCTGAAGCCGACATCATTTCTCTACCGAATTGAGGGAGACGAGGTATCGGAAATTGAGGGCTCTCTTTTTCTAGGGTTTTCTATTGAACTGCAAAGCATGCATTTATAGGTCGAGATTCTAGGTAGGGTTTGGCGGTTTAGGGATGTATTCCTAATCCTACGAGGACATTGAGAGAAAATCCAGCCGTTGATTTTTGAGGAGAAAACCTTGCCGTTGATTTTTTAGGAAATATATTATATATTTTATTATAATTATTATAACGGTTATACGCTTATTAATTACATTATTGATTTTAATTTATATTCGCTCATTGATAAATTTTCACGGGAAAATTGCTAGTTTGAAGTTAAAAAAGGAAAAGGGAAATCAATTAAAGTTTCTTGCAGGGAAAGAAATCCAAATAGGGCTAGTTGGGTTGCTTGCAAGCAAAGTCAAAGTGACTTGGATTGCAAGCAAAGAAACTTCAACTTTATAAGAGAACACACGAAGAACCAAAGGAGAAAGAAGTGTAGCATGGATATTCAAAGTACCAAAACGAATGAGAAGCAAGAATAATAGAGCAAATGATTAAAATAAATCAAGGCGATAAGCATCTCGTTTTAGATCGTCAGGTAGAATTAGAGACTAAACAACAGGAGTTAGTTAGTTTATTTGTTTGTTTATGTGCCTTGGAGATTCTTGGCTGCTGAAACCTTATTCATTGGACCTTTTAAGCCACACCTAAACATCCATTGTTCGATGCATGCCATACACAGGAATATAGTAGAATTTTGTGTATTTAGCATTTGCTTATTTAACCATCTAAAGCTCTACTTACAGGTTGGTGTCCATTGGAAACCAACGGAAATAATATATCCTCTTTTATCTCACACCACTTGACCTACCAGAAATGTATCCCCTCATTCTTCTTCTTCTTCTTCTGCTTTAGAGAGAGAAGAGGATATATCCGGAGACAGCCAAGAATCCCGCTAAGTTAAGCGACAAGAGATATAACTCCCAGCTCAGCCCAAATTGAAGAAACTTAACGCGTGGACTTTAGCGAGAAAGAGAGCCTGCAAATGCGATGCACAAAGAGGGACAATTTTTTTAAATGGTGTGCAAAGTGCAATTGCTCATCTTCTGTCCCACATTCTTTTCATTCTTCGCAGTTCTTAACTTTTTTTTTTCTTCAAACGATATTATCAACAGTAAGAGGGTGGATGAGTGAGCTAAACCTCACAATGGGCTAGTAATAATGTGGTTCAAATTCTCCTTTGATGAGAATTAAACCTAAGACCTCTCCATTTTAAGTGAAAAAGAATATCACTAGATCGTAGTACTAAGTATCAGTTCTTACTTCTTTTGACACTTGTTTTCTTTTTTTGGTCAAATTCAACATTTGCTTCAGACTTGGTAAAACCTGTGACCCGATAAACTGGCCAAATTATTGTAGAAAGATCATTACTATAAGGGGGTATAGTCAAATTAGGATTTGATAGGATTTTAATAGACTTTAAAATACGGATGTAGTCGATTAGAGTTTAGTTAAAAAGAGAATTTTAAAAGATTATGAAATCATGGTGTAGTCAAATTAGGATTTAAGAGGATTTTGAAGAATACACCCAAATCAAGGGGTAGTCGATTAAGAGTTTAAAGAATACATTCAAATCTAGGCATAGTGAGAATGTCAAAGATTTATTAGGATTTTAATGGCTGAAGGATTTTGAGGAATTTGAGAGTGGGTGGTATAAATACACAGTTCCATCAAGAATCCAACGCTTCCTCATGTGATTTCTTTTCACGTTCATCACAGAAGTGGAACAGTCTTCCACTCACACGTCTTCATCTATCCCCTCAAGGTATTGCTTTTCTCTTCCTAACTTGTATAATTCTTGTATGGTTGATTTGTTTCACAGATTATTGCTACATTTGTACTTATCAATTACTCCCGTATTTCCTTCTCATACATATGTATCTATACGTATAATACCACATATCCCTAGCTTCTCCGAATTCATGCTTTTTGTGTTGATCATTTTTCAGTTGTATTGTTTTTCTGTTTGATAGCTGAAAAACCCATACATTTGATGCAATGAAAAGAGAAAACCTACATGCAATAGATTAGCTAATATGCATGCTTTTTTAACCAGCTGAGAGGAACTTTGGATATTTTGCTCCAAATAATTGAAAGGGGATTGGATAAATTTGATGGGTTTTTATTATTTCTTCAATATATGTGGTCTGTGAGAATTCAAGAATTGTTCTTTTTTATTAGAAGGATATTTGGGTTTAGTTCTTAATTTTTGTTCAGTTCTCCATTGTCATTGTTTGGTTAATTAAGGCACTTTGTTGCTTTATTAATGCATTGCATATTATATGATTCGAATGGCTTTTGTTAAATATGTTCTGGATTGATTTTGTTACTGCTACTGCTTCCATCATACTAGTAATAAGAAATGGGAGACAAACAACAAGAAATTGGAAAAGTGAAGGCCAAGAGTGATGATAGCGCTTGGACTTTGGAAGAGAGCAAAGTGTTGTTACAATTGTTCATTGAAGCTACATTGTGTGGATGGCGTGATGCTAATGGCTTGCTAACCAAAGATATTGTGACGACAAGAATACTTCCGGCACTTAATGAAAGACTAAAGAGTAATAAAATTTGTAAGCATTACACAAGTCGAATGATATATTTTAAGAAAGAATATGGAAAGTATAGTCAGTTTATGGGAAGCAACTCTGGCTTTGGGTGGGATGCAAATACAAAGAGATTTGTTGCTGATGACGAAGTTTGAGAAGAATACTTTAGGGTGAGCTTTTTGGCTTTTATTTAAAATAGTTTATGTAATTTGAGTGTATACTTATAGTTTATTGAACAATTATGATTTTCTTGTTTATTTTGTAGGCTCACCCAGGCCAAAGAAGCATTCGTAAAAAATCTTGTGATGACTTAGAAGATTTGCAAATCGTACTTGGGGATGCAACTGCTATTGGAAAACACTCATTGGGATTGGGTGAGGAAACTGATGCTAGAACTTTTGTAGTGAAAGATAGACAAGGTGGAATAGAGGAAGATGAACAAGTTGGAATAGAGAACTTGTTTTACGATGAGGAAAATGTACTCAATCAAAACCAAACTTCATCATTCAATCAATCATCCCCATTCTTACCCACTCAAGCCACTAGCTCAGAGATTCCCCCACCAATCACCAACCATAGGCAACGAAATAGAACCCAATACCAAGGGAATACTAGATGAATACTAGATCATCTGAGACCACTAATCAAGCTAGAATTATGGAAAATATTTCACTTACTCTCGATTCAATTGCCACCGACTTCCGAGGAGTCCATAGTCTATTGGAGAAAATGGATAAGGATAGAGAGACAAAATTCTATATGGGATGCCATCAAGGAAACCCCAAATTTGGATGAATTTGGATATGCTATAATTTGAAATGATATGCTCGGTACTAAAACAAAAAAGGATGCATTTATGAAGATGTTACCGGAAGAGCAATCAAATTGGATATGCTATAATTTGAAATGGTATGTGATTTGACTTATGATACATTAGTTTTTATTTGTTCGTTTTATTTTGGATTATGTTTAATTGGCTTATTCATACTTTTTTTAACTGGATTATGTTGGATTATTTTTAATGAATGATGTGTTTAATTTAATTAACGATATTATGTGAGAATGTAGGATTTAGCTCTGTTGAATTTTGGTTGTTGTTGGAGGAAAAGGCTGCTCGGCTTCCCCCAATTGAGGAAAGCCGAACTCTACTTGATTGTAGTGTTCGTGGAACACTCCACTTTTTCTTAGGTTTCTATATCAGTGTTTTTCGTTCTTTTCTCAAATGAATTTGTGTTTCATTGTTATTTGATTCGAGATTAGTGCGTGACCTTGCACTTTGTAAGCAGTAGACTCGTCAATTAGTATTTCTAGATTAGTGCGTGACCTTCTTATACTTTGTTATGAAAATGAACTACCAGATAGCAATCCTATTTAGATTAGATGTCTCCCGGTCTATGATTAAGGGCAGGCCTACTAATCATCCCTCAGAAAGGCATATTAATTATTTCATGCATTTGGCACTATATATAAATCTCTCTTTCTTTAACTAGTAATTACGCGAAAGTAATATTATCTCACATATACGTCAGTTCCTCTCACTAGTGATTAGGCTTTTGGAAGTTTATGCACGGTGTGGTCTTTGTGGTGTATATTGGTTTCAAGAGTAAGGTGGCATTGTGAAACTTTTGATTGGTGATTAAAGGTTGGAGCTTTACTCCAATCAGGTCTCTTCTTTGAAATGCACTTTTTAGCATATTGATATTTGGTGAGAAAACCCCGACAAGAAATTCTCTTACGTTGGAAATTACAATTTCTACACCAAGATTCCATCTGCTAAGTTTTTATGTTTCTTTCGTACTAGGAAAGAAATTCACTTCATATATTGTAAGAGTAAAATCCTAAGAAGTCTATGAAAGAAGGTCCATACAAATCTATACTGAAAATCTATATAAATCTATCAAAATCCACATAGAATCCTTTAAAATCTGTCACTTAAAAAATGTCTATTAAAAACCTCTGAAATCCAAATTGATTACACCCCTAAATTCACGGCCAACAAAACAAAAGAAGTAAAAGCTAATTTTGTGCTGAAGCAGAAGCTATAGCTCCTGGAAATTGTATGTATGCAACATCGCACACGGGCGTCTGTATGGTAGAGGACTAATCATTTACTCATTTTTATTTCCTGTAAGTAAATAAGAACACCAAAAACTCAGCTAACTTACATGACAAAGAATTACTGGACAAAATTACATAATGCAGAAACAAAAACTTTTCGAAAAACATGCATAACATGCACTACAAGCAGAACATATGGGTCTATGTTTTGGATTTGAGCCTGGATATTTTCAAGGTGAGTTCTGTGATGAGCGTTCGTGACAATACCTGCCGCAACTCAATGCAGGAAGGCTCATCCGCCCATCGTTGTCTTCATGCATTAGCTACTGGTGAAATCCTTATTGCTGTGCTGTTATTTGACCGATGATTGATGTCGTTGTTCATTATGCCACGAATTTTTCGCAGCTTCGGCAGATGTATCAACAGAATCACCATTACCATCCTTTGGCTTCGAGAAGAAAGGATCCCATTCGTGAGCTCCTACCTCACGTTGTCCCTCCTCCAACAAAGCATACTTCCAACTGTTTTCTTCGATGAAGTTATCATCTGTATGACCCTCGATTATGTCCTTCCTCAACTTTGTAACTTTGTCAATGACGGCCTGTACAGAAACATCAAAGGCATCTCTAAAAATCCCCAACTTAGAACGGGGATCGGCGTATATCAGACTTGGAATAAGGCTTATGACCTCCTCCCTCATTTTCTTCACCTGCTCGGGAGTAATTCGACCAAGTGTTTCCTCTATGCTAACGTTCCTCTTGCGAATATCATCCTCTGGGATGAACACTGAATACCTTGTATAATCTTTTGGTAAATGCCAAGTATATTGCGTGTATGCTGACCCAGGATGGAAGAAGACAGGTATGCAACCAGCCAACATTGAATCAAAAGCAGATCTTCGTGTGTATGAATCGCCTTGTGGTTGCAGGCAGAAAAGAGATCTCTGAAACATATGCATTATACTGCTTGGAGAATGACACTTGCTTTCCCCAAAATCACATTCCAACAGCTTACCAACCTTTGAACTCCGGCACTGATCAATGATCTGCCCCCTGATTGACTTGGGATTGTCAGGACGGGGCGCACCAGCAAAAGAGAAAAGGAACTCACGCTTTAATCTTCTCATTCGTTCCTGCCAAATGAACACATCGGCATCTTTTGCTGGATGGAAATACGTGGGATATGGAATACCAAAATCATTAGCATTCCACGGGCTTGATTCTACCACAAGCATAGACATATTCTTAGCAGCTGGCAGAAAGAGAAGCTTGTTACCCCAATCCGATTCTTCTTCTGAAAGTCTCCTGAAATCCCAAGTTATCCTTCCTGCAACAAGAAAGTGGTCTTTGCCACCCATAATGCTCCATTCTGGCCTCTTCATAAGCCAATCAACCAGATCAAGTGAAGCCGCATCCCTCCTTGATATGTTGAAACCCCAAAGGTACCGGGCAATGTCAAACCCAGCATAAAAGGGAACAAAAATAGCAGCAGCAAGAGACGAATCATTTGTCAAACACTCATATTGCTTCATCCGATTGTTAAATATGACATCCACAGCGAACTGATTCGTGGCATACCAACCCGTATCCCCAAACACACCCTCTGCATTCTCAAGTGGAGGCCCAAGCCCAGCATTAGTTGTGAATTTGCACATATTTGTCCAACGGCTTAAACTCCTACATTCCTTTAACATATCCTCGTTAAACCTTGAGGGAAGATCATGCACATAAATATACTTCCCACCACATGGATCACTCTTGTTTTCGACAGTTCTCAATGCTCTCATGAATGGATACTTCTCTGCTTCATTGATCTGGTTGTTTTTCGCAGGGGCTACAGGGATAGGTGTTGATTCAGTGCTCTGGCTGTCCCTCTGAAGATCATTAGTTACAAGGGTAGGCTTCACTTTGGAGTAAACACGACCAGCTTGTAAATTGAAAGATTCATTCACGGTACTACCTCCCAGCACAACGAAATGGAAGTAAAACAACAACATCCAGAAGAACACAGACAAAGAGGCCAAGAAACAAATCCTTGTATTCTGATTCTTTCCTGTCCCCTTCTCCATTGGCTCCACAGGTACACTCGTCGGAGAGCGGCGTCTCATTGGATTCATAATCCACTCAATCAAGCAACCTTCCTATCCGAACCGAAAACCCCGCACCCATAACCATTCACCAAATTCACACAATCCCAAATCCCCAAATCCCCCCCATCAATCACCAATTTCCCACAAAACCCCAAAAATCCCAAATCAACTCAATCACCAAATTCCCACAAAAACCCAAATCCCAAATCAACTCAATCAATCACCAATTTCCCACAAAAACCCAAATCTCAAATCTCAATACTCACACCAACAAACAATATAGCAAAACAAAAACCCTAACCCTAATTTCAACACAAGTAACTCTAAAGCTTATATTTTGAGCTACAAAATGCAAAGCGGAGAACTTTTTTTCAGCTGAAAGATAGAGGGTTTGAGGAACAAGAATACAGTAAACAGATGCAACCTTAACAAAGTGAAATCGAAAAAATCTAGGACAAACCAGTTCTCCAGTCAACGATTCAGAAGAAATGACTGAGTTGGTTCCGCCAGTTGCGCCTGCTTCGGAGCTGAACATAAAAAATACAGAAATTTACAGTCTGTTAACAGCTAAAAATACAGAAAATTAGCAAACTTTAAAACCAAGGAACGAATCGAAAGAAGGAAGACAGAGAGACTTACAGAGGTTTCGATTTGCCGAGAAAGTTCGAGAATTTTTATATTTTGTGCCGAGATTTAGAGAGAGAGGAAAGAGAAATGAAAGTGAATATAATATGACTCTGAGCTCGCGCGCGTCGGAGGCGAAAGGGGGCGCACGTTAGCAACGTGAGCCGGCGGTTGTTTCGTGTCGGTAGCCGGTATGATCTTGCCGCGTGGAATGATGGGAGGACGTGCCTTGTTGAGGAGCGTGATGTCACCCCACTCCCTTAAATTACGTTGCATGGAAGTTGAAAATCCCACTCATTTCCTTTTGTGACCAAAAAATAAATTAAAAAATTCCCACTATTTTCTCTCCAAACAAAATCCCACTCTCTTTTTGTTCATAGTCCAACTAGTATTTGTGAGTATCATTTAATACTACACTTTAGAAGAATTTTTTTTAGAAAATTTCATTTTAATTTTTAAAAAATATGAGTTTTAGATTATAACTTTGTGTAAGATTAAAATCTAATTTTAGTTCCTAATATATTTAATCATCTCATCTATTAGTTATATTTTGATATTTTAGTTATCATTTTATTTTTATTTTAATGTATAAAATTACATTTAAATTTAATTTTTATTTCATTCATCATAATATATTTTAATGTCTACATTTAGGCAACTAATTTTTTTTTATAATATATATATATATATATTCCGACAACAATTTTATATGTTCTTCATTTAGGTACATTAATATATTTGAATATTTCAATATATCCATCGATACAAACATCTATGTACATTAATTCGATATAATGCATTTCAGTATGTACATTTTATTTGTGAGTGAGAAATGTTCTCGTTGATTTGGAGTTTAGGGTTTCTCTTTTATTGAAGTGTCATTCTAAAACCTTGAGAGAGTATACAGTTTCAGCAAATTTGACCACGTGTCTATGAAGATGTTTAGATTTGATAAAGGAAAAAAGAGAATTTTTTTTTTGTCAGACAATGGATTTATTAGATTAGATGTTATATTAAGAAGCCGACAGGGTTCGAACCCACATCGTAATGAAAGGACAACACTCGTCTCCACTATTGTAGTAGAAGGCCACTTACAAAAAGAGAATAATGTTAAGGGGCACACATGGAATCAGTGAGTGGGTAACATTGTGAGCTAGGTATATCCCAAAACATGGGGTTAAAATTAGAGTTATTCTTTATTTTGGCTTACCCAGATATAATTCATGTGAATAATATGTATCTAACGCAATTACTATTTGACTGCAGAGATCGTGTTTGCTTTAAATATATGTAAATATTGTAACCAAATCTGCAAATTAGAGTTAATTGTATGATGTCAAAATAGGGACTTAATCCAAAGGTGATAAAAACCCAAACAACCAATGGCTCCCTACTATTTTTAAGGAAAATAATAAAAAAGGTTTTCTCTTTTTGTCATTGTGATCAGATTTGTCAAAGGTTCTTGTTTTTTTTTTTTTTTTTTTTTTTTAACATTAATGAATATGAGCAAATTTTAGCATAAATCATTGTTTCCAAATTTGATATCTTAGACTTCATCAAAAATCAATTTGATTTTTGAACGTTTACCCCATAAAGAACTAAGAAAAGTGGGGATCATGAGAACTATCAACCATTTCATTTGCTAAATATAGGTGATTTCCATTAAGAATAGAATAACATTAATTAAACGTGCCTATTTATTCTAATAAATAGGAAAAGCCATGTTTAATAGGGTAAGTCATGTCACTTAGTATTACGGTTTTGTGGTATTCTTCTTCACATGTAAATGAAAGACCTTAGGTTCGATTCTTGCCAAATGCCAACTTAAACCACATTATTGCTAGCCCATTATGAGGCTTGTCTCCCTTCTCCACCTCCTTAGTGTAGATAATATCGTCTCTTAAAAAGAAAAAAAGGGATAGGTCATGTCTTTTACTAAAGAGTATAGAGAGTTTTAATCTTTCTCGGCCTTTTGGTTAAGATCAAGTATATAGAGTTTTATAGATAGAGAACTCCTAAAACAGAACATATACGTCCAAATATTTCCTTTCACTTCCTACCATATTTTTCTACATTCCCTATTATCCTCCTACTTATCTCCATCATCAATGTCTTGGCATCCTGTCTATCGTAATCGTGCATATGGATTAGACACTCTTTGAGATTCAAGAGTTGTATCTTGGAGTTGTAGGTAGCCGTTATAAGCTACACGTAGAGAGGCGCGCATCTACGGCTTTAGGACAATGACCGCACGCTTCTCTTGATATCATAGGCCAGATTAATCTTCACTTTTTTTATTTATTGCTTTATTTATGGATACATGTGTTCAATGCATTTGGGTATTATCTAATTCTAATTGCTTGAATTTACATGTGTATTATTATTATAATCATTTAAATTATCCCACAGCTTCGTTAAAACGTCTACAATGTTTTAACATAACATATTCAAACTGATTTAACAATGTAATTCTAATATTATATCAATACAGAAATCTGAATAAAGAGTGGTGTATATATGGAGGAGATGGCACCGTCTAAATCGAGGTTGGATCGAACTGAAATCTTATATGGTTGTACCCCAAAGCTTCTATCCTGCATGTGCATGTGCATGTGAGAGGGGCAGGATCCATCTAATCAGGAAGCTTAATTTTGGATTATCAAAATTAAATCATGGCTGGCTCCACACTCTACTGCCCAATCAAAGAAAAGAATCATGCATGGTAATTTGACACATTTCCAAACAGTGAGTTTATGTAGTACATTATTTATTAAGGATGGAATTGCATTTCTCACTCACTTACGAATAATGTATCTTCATCATATAAATTTTATTGTTAGAATCGTTCAATTTTCTTTGGAAAAAAATTATCTAAATCGAAGATCGTGAATGCATAAAAAAATACGCAATCGGCTTTACGAGTACGCTTATTTTCGGTTGAGAAACCTATACTGGCCACAGTGCTGCTACCCACCTCGAGAGCGAGTAGTCGCTCACTCAGATGAAGGTGTGCAAAACCGCTTTGTAGCTTATTTGGTCTCTGCGCCACCTCTTTCTATGGTTTTGATGGTGAATAGTCTTCTTGCTTTTTTGGCTTTGACTGATTTTATCTTTTGTTAAGCTTTTTAGAGGCAAATTTATGTTTTCATTGTGCATTTTTTAGTATTTTGGTCCCTTGTGTTTTGTTAGTGCTAACCGTGTATCAGCTGATCCGAATGGTGAATTGGTGATGTACATGGTGGTTGTGGTGATGACTACTTGCATCAATAGCGAAGTCTTATTAGGCCTTCATGTGCTTTGCGTAGGACTTTTTCTTCCCTAGGCCTACTAGCAGCGTTTATTTAAGTTTATCACTTGTAACATTTCCTTTCATCAATGGATCTTATGTTTGACAAAAAAAAATTGAAATTTTTATGTAAGGATGATCTTTAAATGGATATTAAAAACTTGAACAGTTCTAATTGTAGAATTTATACAATGAAAATATGTTATTTGCAAAGAGTAATTAAGAACTTGAACGATTCTATTGTTGAATTTATACAACTGAAAATATGTTATTAGCAAAAGAGTAGAACATGTACATTCCTCGTAAAAATATACAAATATTATCTTTCTTTTAATGATTTTCAGATGCTCATCACATGTATGGTGCAATGACGATAGTAAACGCAATCAATATTTAATTAATTAATTTAGCTTTAGTGTTGCACAATTGATGGGAGCAAGGAAAGGATAATAATTTACTCAGAAGCCCTTTTATTCTATTAAAACAATAAAATAGGTGATTACCTACACTAATGTGCCTTTAGCAATATACCTTTTTTGATTATTGAGGAAACCCCTTTAATTTGTTATTTAATTAGTTTAGTCACCATAAGAAAACTTATTATATTAGTGAGAAATACTCTAAATCAAACAACATGATATTCATTGTTTATAGCCAGTGACGAATTCAAGAATTTAATTTTGGGGATGACTGTAAAACATTTAGGGTTTATCAATTATTTGATGGACCTATTGTCATCCGTGTTTATATCAACAAATGCCAAAGCAATATGTGAGTAATGTCAAGACCTCATGTCGAGTACTGTTATCGTCATGTCTTGCCAAATGCTACTGAATTATAGAATGCAGTGTATCAAATACTTGATAGGCACAAAAAGTCTCGTATCAAACATTTGAAGGACCTTTACATGCATTTTTTCGACTTTTGAAGGGTTCCAGGACCATCCAAATCTCTATGTAAATTCGCTCATCCTTATAATGCAGTAACAGTGATAAAAAAGTTAATTCCAAAGTTTTTTTTTTTTTTTTTTTTTTTAAATCGAAACGGCTCTTGGAAGTATTTTTTTAGCATTCATTTTGAGAAGCTTATCTGTGAGGAACTTCATTTATCCGAATCCAATCCGAATTTAATCTCATAACAATGTGAATGCTATGAAGCATGGTGGTCCATTCTTTAATTTATAAACCACACATGATATTTCCTTACATGAACATGATATATTTTGTTAGGTTTGATAACTTATTGTTTCCTCCAATGAATAAGAGGGCTCGACAATTCTAGAACTACAAGGACTAATCAAGCAAATTGACTAGTACTCACTGCATATTTTTCTCACCAGGAAAAAAAAAAGGACTGTTGGGGAAATATGCTTCATATCCTTTATTATATATGTAAGTGTTGAGGTGCATTGTTTATTCAAGCAGCTGGCTAAAGCTATATGCAATTGCATCCCAGCATGTAAGGAAGCTCTTATTCATTTTATGACTTAGTATCCGTGTACTGATCGATTGTTATATTCTCGATGGATCTAATGATCTGGACAAGGGAGATATTCTGAGCTCAAATGTTTCCAGATGTCTAACATTTTGACTTTTGTAATAAAATATCGAATGATCTGGACGAGGAAAATGACATTTCAACAGATATATAAACATGTAAGTCTACAATGTGAATTAAATTTAAGTGTCCATAGAGGAGGATTTCTTAAAAAACATAAAAAACTTACCCGAGTGAAAGTAATCGAAAAAATCGTCGGTGAAGAGGAAAAAGGAATCCACATGCTCCAACCACACAAATAAACAATCAAGTAAAAGTACGATCTGCAGGAGTACTTTATAATATTAGCTTGCCGACTAACGTAGAACTTTACATGCAATATCCTGGAGTCTTCAGTGAGCACCAATCACTGAGTTATCGAGTTCTTCCTTCTGTATCCTTCACAACTTGAGAACTACAGCATATTTTTTCTTGCCTTTTAAATTTTGGACGTATTATTTGTATGTCGGCAAAAGATTAAATTCCCACAAACAAAAGAATTAGCACTAAAATCTCAAACAGTTATGGACAAAACAATGAAAGAAATAGAGGAATGGAATAAATACAAATAAAAACGTGGGCCAAAACCCTAGCTGCTTTGAACCAGATAGGGTTTCCTTTCTCTTCTTCTTTCGCTTTCTCTTCGCCTTGTTTGTTCTTAATAGAAACGACTTAGAGAACTTGACGTCACCAAAGAACAAGTAAACTCCCGGATCCTTCATTTTCACACAACTCCCGTGCAAAACTGAACTGTTGGCTCCCTGAACATTGTTGTTTATATAAATGTTGATGCAGCAACAGTCACTCGAGTGCGATTCAGCTCCGATGCCCGGACGTATGGAAAATGATGCGCCGGTGTTCTTCCCTTCTAAGTTGATGCGTTCGAAGAAGCCACGGTCTGCATTTGGTTCCATAACGTGTTTTGTGGCTCCGTCAAGCTATTTTCCAGACTATATAATTCCAAATCCTGCTCCTTGGCTCTTGCTTCCTTTGCTTGCATTATGAGTTTGGTATATAGACTTTCCAAGAAAAGCCAATTATTCCTTGTTGAACGACTTTAAGCCTAACTAGAATTTTAAGAAGCGAATTGCCTTTCATTTCACACTAAATAGTGCTATTTTCTTTTACAATGCAATATTTATTTCAATCGAGATCTGGTATTTAGTGCAAGAGAGCAAGCACACGAACCTGACCAACTAACCACAACCCAAATTTTCATTAGAAAGTGTTATAGATCACAAAAATACCGCTAATTCTGCGAAATTAGATTATAAAGCATTCCGCATACTTTCATCATAGTTCATTTTTATATAATTTTCTCATGTTTTATTATGCATCGATTGTTTTATTTAATTAATTGAGATGCAAAGAAAACTATGAAACAGAATCTATAAATTTTAAATTATGAAGGGTAATATTTAAAGACAACAAAACTCTCATCATTTTCCCCATCCCACTACTTGAGGACGCATGTCAGACGAAAACAGATAAAAAGATGCATCAAATTCCCTTCATGGCTCAGGGCTTATGAACAAGCACAACAAAATGATGCCAGATGTGCTGGAATTACAAATGGTTGAAATTCGGTCGATGGTGACAGATACGAAGCTAGAAAAGAATAACTCTCCATATCTTTTATTTCTTCCTACTATTTCTCTAAGAAGCAACCCACTCTGAAAACCTGTCATACAAATCGTTGACAATCGTACTATTAATACAATTATACTGGAATACCACAACGAAAGGAAACAGAAGTTTGGATCGGGAAAGAGAGAAAAAACAGAAAGAAAGATGAAGCATACGTCCTGCAACCCTAACCTGATTACAAGTTTGCAAGTGGGTTGCACTGCGGACTTGAAAAGCATTTGGAAATTAGAAAGCCTGAGAGACTCATGGCCAAGCATCTGGAGACACTCTTTCACTGACTGTAGAACCGTAATTTGGGCCACCCTTGCGAAATTGAATAAGAAACTCAATAGGGTAACCCTTCAGCTTATGGGGCACAAGTCCAAGATCACTGAATGTCAAAGCTACAAGGCGCACCACAAAATTGCGAAATTGAGAAAATGAGAAAACTTACCAATCATAGGTCAAAAAAAAGGGGAAGAAGGAACTACCACATCCTAAAATTTATTGAACTTACCATTTTCTGACACGAGTGTATCTGTAGCTTGGGCAAGGATTTGATCTCGGTTGAAGATTTCAGGATTAGGTAATGGAAACGGAACTTTGTTAAGCAATATTTCTCGTGGAGCTACCTATTGCCTGGAACGATCAAATCATAAACATTGGAGGTCAAGTTGATAAAATAATAAAGGCATACAGAGGCATGCACCTAGGATATTGGGACCAGGCAACTGACGTGGTTATAAACATATACACAAAAAATGATCATTAAACAATATGAAGTAACTCCATCACATTTATTTTGGTGTGGGGGGAGGGGTTGGGCTGGGCTCTTACGACCAATTACTGATTACTCTTGGCAACCAAACACACTTGCATTATCAAGATTAACTGTTTACCTTTGCAATTGGGAGAGGAACCTTCACGTAGCGAGGCCATTCACGGATTGTATCAAACATAAGCTCTGCCTGCAGTCCTTGGGTGCTTAGTAAAAGAAATTTCATGTCAATGCAAAACAACTTACAGATGGGAAATTACCAATTGATGCATTGTAAAGACCTCAGGCCCACCAAGTTCATAAATTTTTCCCATGCTGGTACCATCATCTTTCAAGGCTGCCACGATTGCCCCAGCAACATCAACAACATACACGGGTTGGAATCTGCGTGGAAGTTATTGCAAACAAAACATCCAATGAAGGTTAAGAAAAAGATATGCGCATGAGCAACGTTGTTAAATTACAAAATTTGAAAAATTAAAATAAATTGGCATTCAATTGATAGATTGAAAACATACTTAGTAGATCCATCCCCAACAAGTGGAAGAAAGCCATATTTTTTTGCAAAAAAGGCCCAGCGATTCAAAATCCGATCCTCAGTACCAACCATCACAGCAGGTCTCAAAATGGTGGCCTATTGATGAAAGTGAATGTTAGACACTGCTCCTTAAATAAGCATGCCAACATACAAGAAGGAAAGGAAATAACTCTACCTCAGGCAATTCACTTAAAACAGCTTCCTCTGCAGCAGCTTTAGTCCTTAGGAATCTGGAGGGAGACGAGGAAGATGCCCCCAAGCAAGAAACTTGAATAAATCTCATGATACCCCCATGTTCTTTGGAAATCTAGCGGAAATATAGAGATTAAAAAGAAGACTGATATGTGTCTAACAACAAAACCTGAATAAATGACATCCAACTTTTATATCTCCACTAACTGGATATTGAACAGAATTTCAGATCCCGAAAGACACTTCTATCTATGCTGAAAGAAAAGTCCAATTGCAAGCAGGCTAAATAGCTGCATCGTAGACTGCAACTTGTGTGTAGAAGTGTATTATACACAACAAACTATCGTAACTGTGGCAAAATAATCTTGATAAACACTTTTTTACTATTTTTGTTAAGGGTACTATTTTTGTTAAGGATGATGCTTTGGGAGCCAACTTTTAAGAGAAGTAGATGGCAGTAGGATCAGAAGCAGCACAGGAACTGAAAATAATGTCATGAATGTCAATGCAGGATACCTACCGTTGCCAGTTGTTGCGCCATGGAATGATTCACTTCCTCAAAGCTAAAGTTTCTTGTCTCATAATCCCTCCCTGCCAAGCTACAAAGTGTTCCTTCATTGAATCCAAAGATTAAAGTATCTTTAATATATAAAGTCACGAGTCAAGAATGCATACCTATGAGATTGATAACCACGTTTGCTTTTGCCATGACTGCCTTAATTGAATCTTCATCTCGCGGATTGTATTTCATTGGTACAATCTGAGTAAGTGAAGCGTGAGAACATCAGAAACATAATAATTGAAGAATGGAGAAAAATTACTTCCCCAGTCAAGAAGGAACAGTAACTAAGAAACAGCAAAGATTACCCTACCTGTCCCAAATCCCCCATTAACTTGAGGTGACGATGGGAGTCTTCAGAACCACGGAAAGGAACTAACACCTGACTTCCCATTTTGGCTGGAAGAGAAGTAAAGAATCAGCACAAGCATGCATGACACATACTATAAACACTTAAGGGATGTTTGGTATTCTTCTTGAATCCGATTTTTGAAAACTATAAATTATCCTCAAGGTAAATGCCAAACAACCCATTATACTTCTGTCATTTTTTCAAGTATAAAATACAAAATCACACTTCCCCAGATCAAGTTCAGTCCAACAATCACCTACTAGAAATGTTCTCAATCATAACAATCACAGTCTGAAACAATGCATACACGCAATTCAATGGAATTCCAATTAAAAGCATTTTTTGACAGTTGGCTCACCAAGTTGTTGCACAAGATAACGCCCAAGGAACCCTGTAGATCCAAAGACTGCAGCAACAATGCCACTGAAAAAAGACAGATTATTTTCCAAATAACATAAACAACACATTCATGTGAAACACGTACAACCGAGTTTCGATATCTATGTTTGCTGGGTTTTCTCTATCCGTATAGTTAAAGCATTATTAGCACATTACCTTCACTCTTCACGCGGCACATTCATAAAACATTTTTGTTTTCTCAAGAATTCAGCTGGTTATTAGCTTCTTAAAAGTTGCATTCCATCTCCAATGACAACTTTACTTACTGAGAAAAATATAAGAAATCTATCCTACCCTAATGGGCTCATATAGTTCATACATTCGATAAAAGAAATAACTTCAACAAAAGGTTTACTTTTCCTACATTTTCCCCGAAAACTAACGTAACAACAACAATTAAACATTCTAACTCTTTCAATAATATTCAATGCAGTAAAATCAATTTCGACAAAATGTTCTAACTTTTCCTACATTTTCTAAGAAAACAAATGGAGTAACAACAAAACGCTTCAACTTTCCAGACTGATTGACGCGTAACGAGAAATGAAAAATTGGAGGGCTACCTAACAGATGATCTTCCACCTGTGCCCTTGCGCACAAGGTGCCCCACTCCCTTGGTGGCGAGGGTAGATCCGTATTTTGGACGATCAGCTCCATAATCTACAAAATTGACAAATTGAGACCACCAAATTAGGGGGAATTTGAAAATCAAACCCTAGAAATGGAGAGAAATGAGGATTTTTACAGTGATCGGAAAGGGGATAGATTGACTTGAGCGACGAGATGGAAGATGATTGGGTCAGATACTGGCGCCCAACGCGCTTCGAGACGGCCTGCATCGTGCTCTCAGCTGCAGGTTCTTCAGAGAGAGCTAGAGAGAGAAAGGAGAGAGAGAGAGACCTGTTGGATGAAGAAGATGGGTAGGATCGGTTGGGAGTCGGGCATATGCTTACTTTGGTTTGGGCCATGATAAACTTTGGGCTCTCTACATATGGCCCACTTCTTCTTCTTCTTCTTCTTCTTTTTTCTTTTTTTTAAATTTTGTTTTTCTGAATTAAATTAAAAAAGTGACATTATACTTTGAATTCTATAGAAGCGGGTTTAATCTCGAAAGCATAAGAAAATACACCCACGTTACCATTATATGTTGTCAAGATGTCAATTTGAATAACTGAATCGAATGGACTTTGTTTGTCAAATAGTTTAAACATGTTATGTTGTCAGACTGTTAATCTAGACAAGTGATTTAATTTTCACTACTGTGTACAATAGTTTTGCATAACATACCAACTTGATAATGTTAAACATCCATCAGTTTGAACATGGAATCACGATCACTTCACGATAGAATTTCTCTTGTAAAAATTTTAACATATTATGTTGTCAGACTGTTAATTTAAATAACTAATTTAATTTTCGCTCAATTGTGTTTATATTTTAACACAGCATCAGTTTTCTACTGGTAATGGTACATGGTTAGGATCATACATATTGGTGCTATGAACCTATGTACTCCATCATTACTTTGACTATTTAAGAATTGGCATTTTCAACTCAAAAAGCATAAGGAAGTACACGTGTAAGTGGTTTAACATGTTATATTGTCAAACTGTTAATTTGAATAAGCGATTTAATTTCCGGTGGAGCATACGGTAGTTTAACATAACATACCAAGTTGATAATGTCAACAATTTATTTAATTTGAACATGTAATCTTCATGATCCATAGTCACAGTGTCATGTATCAAAACAGAGTAGTATGTGAAGAAACAAGAACAAAAATGTGGGATTAAGTTTCTAGCATTAGGATTGCTCTTTTGACATCAAAAATTGTGGAACAAACATTGACCCATCTTCCCTTGAGACCAAAAACATTGACTAACCCAGCTGCACCTATTCCCTAACTACATTATTGAACATGATTAAGCACAAATCTACTCGTGTCGTTGCCTCTTCCGCGTATTTTATTACAGCTCTCATCAACCCAACTTATTTGTCTGACGACCGTGAAAGAATTCCCCGATTTGGCTTGGGGATGAATCAGAAACAGCTTTCCTCAAATGGGGGTTTGGATTGATAAAAATGGCACGCACCTTTGTCCTTTCCCATTTATCTTTAAACTTTCTGAATGCAGCAGCACCAGCAAGGAACGCGGCATCAACTGTCTTGTTTTGTATCATCTGCTCTTGCTGCTGCTGCCTTTGAATCAAAGGTTCTCAGCCATGACATCTGAATCAAAATTCTGGTATGCCACTCGACCTAGATGAATACTCTGTTACCAATTTTAGAAACATGGATGACTTATCTTCTAATAGTCGTATCGGAGTATCAAACTCTGCCACTCGACCTGCAAAAACATCAAATATCTAGGTTAATAAGCATTCTATGGGTCCTCATAAAACCTCCCAAAAGCACCAAACATAACCTTTCCCAAAAGAAAAGCAGAATCATGTCACATAATATCTAGTTCAATGCAGTTACATGCAAAGGACCATATGAAAACTCGAACATTTTTCTTCTATTGATGAATAGGTGTGTATGGAATTCATAACGAATCATTTTACTTACCATCACTGAGTACCAGCACTAGATCACTATCAATGACGGTTGGGATACGATGTGCAATCGTGCACACAGTACAGTTCTTAAACTCTGTTCGAATAATTTTCTGGATAAGATTGTCTGTAGCTGTATCAACCGATGCTGTCGCTTCATCAAGCACCAATATTTTTGCCTGCTTAAGCAATGCTCTTCCGAGAGATACCAGTTGCCGCTGACCCACACTCCAATTATCTCCATTTTCCAGTACTGCAATTTTAACACAAAAATCCGACTCATTGGTAGCCATACCCAAACCAAGACATTCTAGTTTTCTTTGTTTAGAGGGTCGGATGTGTAAGAGATTTAACTCATACCTGGTGCATCAAGCTTTTTCTCCTTTTCACGGATTATGTCTCCAAGCTGAGACTTGTCAAGTGCCTGTACCAAATAAAGTAACCCTAGTTACGAACTATGTGTATAATACACGCATGTACAAATTCTTGAAAAACGCTGGCTTAGGTAATAAAAAAATTGTTTGAGTCCCAGAGGATGTAGTCATATTCCAAAATGAAAAAGATAGGATATGCAACCGTAATCAAACCTGCCAAATTTCATGATCCAAATGCTCTTCAAGGGGATCAAGATTGAGCCTAATGGTCCCTTCAAATAAGGTAGGATCCTGGGGAATGATACTGAGACGACTTCGGAGATCATGAAGACCAATTGTCGAAATATCAACATTGTCTATAAGGATCCTCCCAGCTGATGGTTCAATTAGTCGAAATAATGCCTGGATCAAAGTAGATTTACCACTTCCAGTACGCCCAACAATTCCAATATTCTTTCCACCGGGAAAACTACAAGTAACCCCATGAAGGACAACAGGAAGATTTTCCTTGTAGCGAACCTTCAAAGGAAACAAGGAGGAAGCAAAACTGTTATCATTGCGTAATTCAATTGCAATACTTGATTTTTATTGAACTTGCACATTGTTCACAAAATTAAGCATAAGCATAATAAAACCTGTGAACTGCAGGCAGCATACCTTTAAATCAATTATGTCAATTGCTCCATTCTCTGGCCATGTAGATGGAGGTTGAGAATCCTCAATAACGGATGGAGCTTCACTTGGGATTTGACTGTACTGATATATCCTTTCAATAGAAATAATTTTGTTTTCAAGCTTGCAAAAGCTAAGTATCCATCGTGATAGGCGTGCATTTAAATTCAGACCATATGTGACAGCAAGGCCAGCCATGCCTACATGGAAAAACGAATTACAATTAGATGTGGCATTTTGTCATAATCTGAAAATTCTACTCCTTTGTCATTGTCCCATCAAGCCATTTAATCATCCAAATTATGTTGTGCGACTAAAATTTAGACTACATCAACACTAATCCAGTTCTCAGACCTGCTTAATGTTCTTAAGCTAGCAGAAAGGGAACTTTTTTCTTTTCTTTTTTTTTTTAAATTACAATGCTTTATGCACATCAAAGCACACTGCTAAATGCGAAACCAAAATAAATCGTATAACATATGATGGTTGAAAATTATGAGCTCAGAGATTCAATCAGGTTAACATGTAAGAGATACCATGTCATAGATACTCCCACTCCCACATAAACCAAGTCAAAGAATTTTCAAATATTTTGTACGCTTCAAAATGGAAGCAATCATTCAGACCAAGCAAATATACGACTTGCCTTAAGAATGGCAATGCTATTTCATATTCAAGTCATGTTTTAACAGGACTCAGATTTCATGACAACATACAGATAATAGTATAGGACACGAACTTACTTGGATCAATACTCCCATGTGGAAAGCTCACAAGTAGAATCATGCAGAAAGCGAATACAAAAGTTGAGAGTAATTCCATGCGCAGACAGAGCCATTCAATAGCTGCAATACTGCAGAAGAAAGGGCGAGCAAAACAATCAAGAAGATAAAGGTTCCTCTTCATGAACCTTTTTTCTTGTCCAAATCCTCTTATAGTGGCAGCTCCAGCAATTGACTCGCCAAAAAGATGGATAATTGGAGACTTCTGGATGCTAACAATTCGGACCAGTTCCCTTGATGAAGCCATGTAGTATTTCTGTATCAAAGAATGCTCACATTCAGGTACAATAAAGTAGGTTTAATATCATAAAGTAATTAGCTCAAAGATGTATATACACAACGTGACAAAAAGACAAACAATAAGGTTTCTCAAAGTGATGAAATTGATCACCACGATTTAAACGCTTTTCCAGTAGCAACTTAAAGATGGAAAATAGTACTCAGCTAATGTATAGTTATATAAATATTACAGAATTTGAAACAAAAATATATATGTAATCGTATGCGAAATTAACAGTGAGCAACATCCTTTATATTTTTATCTTCAGTTTTCTAAATTATTAAAACAACAAATTCAGAGCAAAAAATTTAAGTACCTGCATCCACAAACAAGCAATGGCCATAGGAATAACAAGCAGCAAAACTTGCCAGGTAACTGTTGTCATCACACCAACAATACCAATAAGTTGTATTGTCGTTGAAGCGAACCCACCAAGTCTAAAAGGAATATCAAGATCCACCACACTTTGATCAATTGATACCTATAGAAAACAAACAATTCAATAATTATATATGCAAACGGAAGGTAGTGAATTAGGTATTTTTCACAAACAAAAAATCACTTGAATTCCGGAAATGAGAGACTTACACGATTCAAGATCCGTCCAGCAGGAGTAGAGTCAAAGAAACACATTGGTGCCCGGAACACACTTCTAAGCATTTTCACAAACAATTTCTGAGCAGCCGCTAGACCAAACGTAGCTACCAAAACAGCCCTAACAAATATAAACCAAGAGCTTCCGAATGCAAGGGCCATGTAAACACAAAGAAGGACCATCGAACTCACTTTCGGTTGGTCTACTTCTGTTTGGGGATTTGCCCAAGCCATCCACCAACTACTAGCAATTTGAAGAAACTGAAATACTGTTTGTGCAATGATTATGGGTGGAATCAGCAATCCTTTATACGCTGCAGCCATATACGAAAAGTAGACTTTCATGCTGACCCTTCCTCTTACCCTTTCCTCTTCTTGGACAAGCTGCTTTTTTCTTGAGCGCTTTGCTTTCTTTTTCTCTTTAATTGCTTTCTGCTCTGAAGCTGACACACCTTCTTGCACTTCCTTTGCCAAACAGTCAACACTACTGCTAGGTTTATCACAATTTTTTCGGAGCCCAGTATCCAGACACAAGCTTTGATCTGAATCTCCCGATGAGTTACTGGGAATATCCATAGCTTCAATTGCTTCATGGTGAGCTGAGACTAGTGATTTGAAATCAGTTCCTGCCTGTAAAAGATCATCATATTTTCCTGCCTGTATGATGCGCC